CTGGTAATCAAATGTATTAATGCACCCCGGTTTTATATCGGTATAAACAAACCCGAAGATTTAGAGTCACATTCTACAAATCTAATGATGATAGCTCCTTCTCATCGAAAATATCCATCAAAACTATTTGTCAACTGTGACAAAAAACCACAATGAAAAACAGTTCTTTTACAGAATTACAGCTTATATTTTAATAAGCTTAAGAATGTTACTTCTATGAAACGAAAATTAACTAAAAAATTGTATGGATGCATCGATCTGGTGATAGACTAATTTTAATAATCGCCTCAATTTTCAATTTTATAGATTCATAATAAGGACTTGATCCACTAATTAACTTTGGAAGACTGATAATTTTTCACTACATATATGGATATGAAATCTTGATTGTGTGGTTTATTGTTTGATTTCTTTGTTTTTCGTTTCAATTTTTTTTTGTCTAATATTTATGACTCTCTAGTACCTGGAACCAGGCGGAAAAAAATGTGTGAAGCCATAATAACCTGGCTTTTGCCATTCATACAATCTTCATAGTTCTATACATTTTTTGATGGAGAAATGTATGGGTTCCGGCTAATAACTTTTATATTCAACCTGTAAGGAAAAAAAATCTTTTTAACCAGTTAAAATTTAATTTCAGTTATATATATATATATATATATTCAAATTTAAATCTTCTATATATTAATTGAGAAACATTTATATAGATTAATCTTATTTTTTATTAATATTTATAGTGGTACTATTTTGCTAATTGATCAACACCATAAAGTTTCTCAGCATACTTATTAAAAAGGACTTAAATTACTAGATTAATTACATGATGTGATGTTATGCATTTTTATGATAAAACATATAATATAATTTTTGTAAGTATTCAAATAATATATTACTAAATCAAATTAATCTAAAAAAATAAACACAACCAATAAAACATAAAATTGATGTAAATTTTATAACAACAATGTATAACTTTACTCAAATTATATTATTTTCTGGTAATCTTGATATGATTCATTTTTTAAAGTACTAAAATAATATATTATTGAAAAAAATAGTTTCCAAAATAATTTCCAAAATTTTCTTCAATAGAATCTAAATATCAACCAAACATAATATTTTAGCTAAAAGATATGTTTATAATCGATCCATTGGAATTTTTTTTTATATAACATCATTTCTATTTCCAATCTTAGTAAAAGAAGATAAATACATATTATTTCTATTTGCAACAAAAGAAGTATTAATAGAACGGGTTCGAACTAGACAAACATAATTCATTTCAAAATTATTTAAAGAATTCATATTAAAGAGTGGGCAATAAATTATTTTCTCAACATAACTTTATTATTATTAAATCGTTTATCAACATAATTTCTAAAATGATTTCGATCTGACACATATATGCTAAACCAAGACGTATTTTTTTGTATTCAAATCAATTAAACAAGAAGTTTATATCCAAATAATAATAATGATTATTAATTAAGTATACTAAATTATATTTGAAATGCTATTTTTTCTAATAAATCATAATTAATTTCTTCTAATTGGTAACTAAAATAGTTTAACGTACTAATTGAAACCATTTTATGTTTCATTTCAATTATAAGTTCATACTATATGAAAGACAAAATAATATAAGTTCTTTAATATATAAAACATTTCTAATAAATATTAATAAAATTTCGTTAAATAGATATTAAATATAATTCGAATATATTAAAAGCATTTCTAAAGTATTATATTAAATTTATATTTTATGTATACAATTGGGACATTATGCTGATGTGTCATTAATATACTCATTCTCATCACACTTAAAAAAATATAACTTATGTTATTAAAATAATTACATAATGTGTCATTCACATTAATTTGGTTGGCCAATAGTTTACATAAATTATTAATACATAATTAAAAATTTAATTAATGAATATATTCTTTTTCTTTCTATTTCTTACCAAAAATATTTTTTTACCACTTATTTCTTTACATATTATATTTTTTTATCTTATTTTCAAAAATTAATAAATCATCACATCATCTATATATATTAACAAAAATATAGAGTATTTGGTATATAAGTTATAATACAAATTTTAAAAGATAAATATAAATTACTCAAAATGAATAATAAATATGAATATATTTGAAAAGTTACACATTAGAAATAATTAAGTGTAAATGATTGAGAAATTATTAAAAAAGAATATAAATGCCAAAAAGTTATATAATAACATAGAACTTTATTTACTCAGCATCCATATCTATAAGTAATTTTTAGTTTAATATAATTTGTTCAATAAAACTATATAAATAAACCAAATAATATAATGTCGAATAAAATAATATAATATTGAGCTAAACAAGATAAATATTTAAACTTAATAAAAAGTTTAAAAAATAATATATCAAACAGTCAAAATATTAAAACTATTTTACTTTGAAAAAATGAAGTATTATAATTTTTTATTTTAATTAAAAATAACTTGGTCAAAAAGTTAAAATATTATTTTGTAGGATATTATATTATAATCTTACCAATTTTTTTGATATTATAAATATTTTTATTTGATCAAAAATTTAAGATTTTATAAATATTGATTCAGTTATATATATTTTTAAATGTTGATATTTTATACGAGCGTAATCTTCAAAATTTAGTATAACTATGCACTTTATATTTATATAAAAAATATTAAAATCCTATAAACAAATTTTATTGTTACTCGTACACATTATTAATTTACACATAAAATTAATTAACTTATTTTCACTTCAAATTATATTTAGTAAAATTGTTTATAAAATTCTCACCCTGCACAAGACGCTGGTTATTACCTAGTTTCTTTAATAATTTATATATTTTCAAAGATAAATTTAATATCTAAATTAGTTATTTATTTGTTGGAATACGTAGTCTAATCCTCAGTATATAAAGAAAAAGTTTTTAATTCTTCATGTCCTCTTACGATGGAAAATAATCTGTCAAGAATTTTTAACCACAATTATTTGTCACCAAATATTGACAATTTTGTTTGGTAAGAAATTCTCGATTATTTTTTGACAAATTCTATTTGCGATCAATAATTTTTGACTAAAAATTATTTATAGAATTCTCACCCTGTGCAAGATGCATGTTATTACCTAGTTTCTTTTATAATTTATATATTTTCAAAGATAAATTTAATATCTAAATTAGTTATCTATTGGTTGGAATACATGGTCTAATCCTTAGTATACAAAGAGAAAGTTTTGGATTCTCCCTGTCCTCTTACGAAGGAAAATAATCCGTAAAATTTTTTTAACCACAACTGGTTATTACCTAGTTTCTTTAATAATTTATATATTTTCAAAGATAAATTTAATATCTTAATTAATTATTTATTGGTTGGAATACATGGTCTAATCCTCAGTATATGAAGAAAAAGTTTTGGATTCTTCCTGTCCTTTTACGATGGAAAATAATCTGTCAAGAATTTTTAACCACAATTGTTTGTCACCAAATATTGACAATTTTGTTTGGTAAGAAATTCTCGATTATTTTTTGACAAATTCTATTTGCGACTAATATTTTTGACTAAAAATTATTTATAGAATTCTCACCCTCTGCAAGGTGCATGTTATTACATAGTTTCTTTTATAATTTATACATCTTCAAAGATAAATTTAATATCTAAATTAGTTATTTATTGGTTGGAATACATGGTCTAATCCTCAGTATACAAAGAGAAAGTTTTGGATTCTTCCTGTCCTCTTACGAAGGAAAATAATCGGTCAAAAGTTTTTAACCACAACTGGTTATTACCTAGTTTCTTTAATAATTTATATATTTTCAAAGATAAATTTAATATCTAAATTAGTTATTTATTGGTTGGAATACGTGGTCTAATCCTCAGTATATAAAGATAAAGTTTTAAATTCTTCCTGTCCTCTTACGATGGAAAATAATCTGTCAAGAATTTTTAACCACAATTGTTTGTCACCAAATATTGACAATTTTGTTTGGTAAGAAATTCTCGATTATATTTTGACAAATTCTATTTGCGACTAATAATTTTTGACTAAAAATTATTTATAGAATTCTCACCTTGTGCAAGGTGCATGTTATTACCTAGTTTCTTTTATAATTTATACATCTTCAAAGATAAATTTAATATCTAAATTAGCTATTTATTGGTTGGAATACATGGTCTAATCCTCAGTATACAAAGAGAAAGTTTTGGATTCTTCCTGTCCTCTTATGAAGGAAAATAATCGGTCAAGAATTTGTAAACACAATTGTTTGTCACCAAATATTGACCATTTTGTTTGGTAAGAAATTCTCGATTATTTTTTTACAAAATTCTATCTGCGACCAATAATTTTTGACTAAATAATTTTAGTTGTAAATTAATTGACAACAACTATTTTTGACCGATTTCTGACTGAAATTATGGTCAGAAATCCGATAGCGTTTTTGTAATGATCTAACCATAAAAAAAAAAGTTAACAAAAAATATTATAACAGAAATAATTTTTGGCAAAACCATTACGATCTTCATAGTTCTATTGGAATATATCCATATTGCATGAACCCAAGTTCCCTGAAGTCGTTTTTGGTTCCCGGATTTCGTTTTTGGCTCGTCGATTTCATTGATGCCTTTTTGTAATGTAAGTCTATGTTCATAAAATATGATTGGTTTTAATAAAAACATATTTTATATTTAATTTGATTCGAAACCCATGTTGTTTTAGTTGCGAATAGTTATACTTAAACAAAGAGAAAACATTAATTAACTGGAGCAACTGGATTTTTATTCAAGATCAAACACAAACTAAACCGAATGCAAACATGCAACTAAAACCAAACATAAAGGGTTGACAAGAAAGAAAGCAAAACCCAAACATACATTCACATATGTTTTTTTATTGATAGTCTAAATGACGAAAAATTAAAATACGATCGAAAGACTCTCTCCCGATGTTCACCAGAATGCTCCAATCATCCATCTTGCTCACCACTGTTCCTTATTCAGATCCAGATCCTTAACAGTCTGTTTGATGTTCAAACTGTCTTTAATCTGACCTCGAACCTCATCGTAAAATCCAACGGTAGAGGTAGCCATCTCAACCGTAGCCACGACGACATCAGGTGTTGTAGGAACAACAGCAGCAGCAGCAGGGGAGGAAGGCAGCGTTTCACCGTTTTTCTTAAGAATCTCAATCCTACGATTGAGATCTTTGAGATGCTGCTCAACGACAAAACCAAAATCTCGAAGATCATTTTTATCAATACGGGTAACAGAATGTTCCCCACTAAGACAACTGAACATAACCTCTTTCATGGCCATCTCTCTGTTCTCCTTCCGCAGCTTCTTGCAACTCTCAGTTGCTTTGTAGATCCTTTGTTGGAGAAAGGTCTCTTGGTTCATCATCTTCTTGCTCTTGTCCATCGGCGACATCGTCTTCCAGTGGGACACAATCCTGTCCACCTTCTCTGTCGTTGGCCACACCTCCGGGCTCGAGTCGTACGCACTGTCAATCATTATGGCGATTGGGACATCACAAAGAGTTTGTAACTCGTAGGCTTTCTTCAGAAGGCCTCTCTTCCTTTTCTTGAACGTTGATTTCCTTGACGTCTCATTTTCGATGAAAGCCATTTTAACTTTCTGTCTCGTCATGAGTTTCTTTGTTTTGTAACTTTGTTTTTTGTTTGTTTTCGATGTTAAAATTTTAGAGTGGAGTAGTGTTTATATATAACATACACATAGATGTTTGAATTAAATTTAAGGAGATCTATATTATCTAATTCTAAGCACATATCTATGTATAAAATATCATACCCTTTTAGGGGTGTTATATTTAAAAGAAAATAATTTTTCTTTCTTGGGTAGTAAATTTAGCATTCAATTATATATGTATTTGCAGGCAACGGTGTGTGCAGTTAAAATCGTTTTGGCCTATATTTAGGAAAAAGTTACAAAAGTCGTGCGGGAGGGATATATACAAATTTTCAATAGCTTAGAGTCTAATATGTGCCATGAGTAATATTTTTGGTCAACAATAAAAAAAAAGTTTTTTTAATTATTTTGTTTGTTTTAGGCATTTTTATTAATTATTTTTACTAGTCAAGAAACATTGTCCTGTAATTCTTTTGGACTAGGAATAAAATCCCTTATAGTCAATTGTTCTTCAAGATTACCTACCATATATATTGTTTCTAGATATCTATACTATATATATACACACACTATCAAGTCTTATATTATATATTAATATTTTCAATAAAATCATATTTTAAAAAAAAATTGGAAAAAAGACTGTTTTTTTGTTAAAGAATTTTTGAAAAAAAAAAAAAAGTTTTCCGCGTAAAATATAAGAGCGGTTATTACTACTAATAAAATTCATCTTCTAATACATTTTTTCCAACGGTGAAAACCTGCTTAGTTATGAATCATATTTTATTTGTGAATCGATCTTCAAAAACCGTTAGTGTGGATTTATAATAGAATTGTCGTTGTAGTTATTATTCTATAAATTGTAATAGTATTAAAAAAACTCACACACACAATTTCCGAACTTTGTTTATACGACTTTTGTAACGCATATGGGCCCTATGCTTAATTTTAATTAAAGCCCAATTTAGTTCGAAGCCCACAAGTTAAACATCCCGCGTTTTTCATTCCCTTCTCGCCGCTTTCTCTTTCGCATTTCGCCGTCCGCCATCGCCGGTGAGTTTTTCAATTCTCGGATTGCTTTGTGCTGATTTGTAGATATCACTATTCGGCTATGGAAATGTGACCTGATGCATTCTAAAATATGATCGCATCAAAATATTATTTGCCTCTATGAATTTATATCGTCTAAGTTCTGAGACGATCAATGCTGAGTATTGCGTTTAGATTTTAGTATCGCGTTCTATGAAGGGGATATTACTTTCTTGATTTTCTTCTTAACATCTGAGAATCTCTGATGAATGTGTTTTCTGGGTATCCCAGAACGAGTTTGATACGTTGAAGTCCCGAGAATCGTCCTCAAAGATCTGTGTGTTATAGTTACATCTTTTGCTTTGATTTTATGAAATTACTTGTTGGTTGCTTATTGTTATTCCAATGTCAGACTATCTCTAATCGAAGGCAAGAAAGAGGTTCTGTAAGTTTGTTTTATGGCCTACAAGTTGTTCGATTAAATGTCTGAGTGAAATCAAGGTCAGAGACTTATTTTCTTTTTCATGTGATCGTCTTTTGATTTCTGTGGTTTTATTGATTTTGATTAAAGTAAGATGGTGATTACTGGTGGTCTGTTGAAACTCTTTAACTTTTGTGGCAGAAAATGAGATATGCATATACATTCACTCTTGGTGTTTTGTATTCTCTTTTGCTAATTGTGAGTTTTTTTTAACGAAAGTAAGATGGTGTTTTGTTTTCTTCTGATCTTATAGTTAATTTCTCAGACCTATATCGTGTATGCGTGCTTAGTAATTTGTCTTTGTGTTCTCTGTTTTGGGGTTTGTAAAGCTGATAAAAGAAGTTGTCGTTTCGTCAGGAGGAAGCCATGAAAGTCAAGCTCTTGCGTATCCTTCTACTTTATATTTTCCTGCTTATCATGCATCAAAATTTTATTATTAAGGTGCACCTTTGGTAATAAGGGTCCCTAGGATCGTCCATGATGATCTTCCGGTACATAGATTTCAAGACATGATTTATTAGGATGCAGCGTAGGTTCCATAATTCATCATGATATCTGAAATTGATTTCTTTTCATAAATCTCAATTTTGATTACTGATGTTGATGACTTTGTAGTTTTTCGATAAGGATTCTTGTTATCAACTCTCAACTGATTCATATGGGGTAGGCTAAGATCAGCTCAATGTTCCTGCATTTATGATTTTGTTTCAGATTTACTGTTTTTTCCCTTGACTCTCAGTGCTACTATGTCTCCTTGGCTTCGAAAAACAGAGTAAGCTCCTTTGTTCCATTAGTACATGTATTATTATATGCAGTTCCAATTCCCACAAACTCTTACGTTGTGAGAAACTGTAGATGGCATGCAGTTGCATCATGGACATGGGATGCTCAAGATGAGACATGTGGAATATGTCGTATGCCATTTGACGGTTGTTGTCCTGACTGCAAACTCCCTGGAGATGACTGCCCTCTAAGTAAGTTCCTTTCTTTTCATGACTCTTAACGGATTGTGAATGTTTGATGAAAATATATTTGTATTCTTACGTTTTGGTTACTGGGCAGTTTGGGGAGCTTGCAACCACTCTTTTCATCTCCATTGTATATTGAAATGGGTTAATTCACAGACGAGCCAAGCTCATTGCCCTATGTGCCGTAGAGAATGGCAATTCAAAGAGTAATAAGGAGTGGAGAGAGATGGGCATTTGTGTTGTGTGCCTTGATTAGATCTATCTATCTTTGGTTTCCCTCTTTAGAGATGTTTTGGATCCATTGTTCCGAATTTAGTACGACCACACATATCCCCATTTGGAACCTTGGTCACGTGACGTGAGAGACTGAGACGAGGTAAATCTAAACTATCAAAGTGTTGTTTACGTGTCGAGTACGTTAGGTTTTGTGGTGGTCACCGTCAAGTTTGGAAACTTTTTTTTTTTAATAAGAAAAGGGCATTCGCCAAATTTGAAAACTTAAACCATGCATTGGTAGAATTTCAATGGATCTCTCACTATTAAAGAAAAGAAAAATAATAAATAAAAAAGAGAAAGAATAAGATGAATTTCTCAAATGAGAGATTATAAGAGATTCATGAAAGATTTTTATAACACATGTTTCTTTATAATTAGCTCAATTTTCTTTATAAATCAAAATTTAATTATAAAATTAAATTATACTTATATTAGATGATATATATGTTCTTAACTTCATCATTATTAACTTTACCATGTTTTAATAAAAAATATATATAAACATTATTAAAAAGAACAAACAAGAAATTATCAAATGAACACCATTGTTTCTTCATATATGAACACCAGATCATTCCTAACTGCACAATCACAAACGAAAGCCTTATAAGTATTTACAGCTGTTCTTGACAAAAGAAACTACAAGTGAAAAAACCTTAAAAGCACACGAATATTATATAAATATATACTATATATATATATAGAGAGAGAGAGAGAGAGAGAGCTTACATCTCCCTGGTGATGGCATAGACAGCATATAGGATCCCCGGAACGTACCCTAAGACCGTTAACACCAAACATACCCAAAACTCCACCTGCAATTTTTTATTTTTCCCATATTTTGTTACAAAATTTAGTAAAAAAATATATAGAAATCATAGTATATAAACAAATGGAGAAATTAAGATATGTAGAGAGATAAACAGAGAGACGCACACTGCAACCAAATTTAAGGAAGACGCCGAGTGGTGGCAAGAGGATAGCAATCAAAATGTCTACGCAATTCGCTGTTCCTTCGTCTACCATTTTTCTTTTTGTTCCCTGAGGGCCCTTCAAAATATTTAGATTACAGTACTACTTTATAAGTGTGTATTATCCAGCTAGCGTAGTTCTTCATCTTGCTCTTTATGCGACCAAGCTATATATAGATAGAGTCTACTTTGAGGACTTGAGATGATTTGGAATCATATCAACATCATCTTACACCAACTAAAAATATCTACTTAAGCCTTTAAAATCTAGCCCAAATTTACATTAGAATCTAAACACAATAACATTATAATTAAAAACTGTGAATATATGTCTCTGTTTATTACTCTGGTGGAGAGTATTACTATTATATAATAAGATGTTAACAAGTGTAAGAAAATAAAGAAGCAAATTACTTATCTTATGTAGATGGAAAGCAATTAATAAGCAAAAACTTTTAAAGTACTACTACAAGTTCTATTGGCAATGACACATTCTTATCTTCTGTAGATTGAAAGTTCAAAACCCATTACTTACATTTTTTAGCTTTTTGGGTTAAATTAAGACGTTAATGGACCAAAAACATATTTTGAGCTTGGAGACCAGTCGAAGCCAAGACCGGCTCTGTGTACCGGTTTAGGATAACTTTGATTGGCGTGTGATGAATGTGACTAGATCTCTTATTTTCGAAACGCGTTTGAAATTTATGTAAATGCTACAAATAATCTAGATTGTGTTTGGATTTGATCAAACAAAAGCCTGAAGAAATGGATACGACTACATTTCACTTAGAGTTAGACCCCCTGAAACGTTGAACGCCAGGTTGCGACTTGCGAGGCCATGTTACGCGGTAAGGAAAGAACTCACAAGTGGTCAGATGACCCAAACAAATCTCACATGTCCATGATTAAGATTTGGGACACGATACTCATATTTGCCTCTAGGGTCCCATGAGTACATCTAACGAGGCAAACCCACAATTTACACTAAGGAGGTGTTATTGGTTCTTGTATTTTAATGGATTTGAGAATCCAAACCAAATTCAGTGTTATTGGTTCTTGTATTTTAAAATCTATATTGAAATACAGTGTTATTGGTTTTATGATTTTAAAATTCATAATGAAATACAGTGTTATTGGTTCTATCATTTTAAAATCTAAATATTATAAGGATTTGAGTTTTAATTGAATTTGAATGGATTTGGAAAGATTTTCATGACTAAAATACAAATACCCAAATACAAGATCTAACCTTGATATTTGAGTGGATTTGATTTTATTCCATTTTGCTGATTTTGAAATCAATAAATTTATCAAATCCAAAGAAGATTTATAAATCCACCAAAATACAAGAACCAATAACCCCCACTAAGACTCTACGAAATCAAATTCCATGATCAAATCATTGTGTTGTAATTTTAGACTTAAAAGTTAAATATGCATCAATCGTGTTAATTCGAGAGATGGAGTAAAATCGATGAATTATACTAACCTTTATTTCCGTTCACAAGTTCATAAAAATAAAAACCAAACCAATTAATGTAAAAAAACAAAAACAGAAGAAGCATAATACAAATATAAGATCTTGCAAATAATTCGACTTCTTCACCTTTACAAGTCTTAAAATGTGCTTGTTGATGAGTTGACACAAACAACAACAAAAGTATGTGACAATGTTCAACCTGTTTGACATGACTCCTGATCCAATAAACTAGTCCAAACGACTTTGTTATTCTCCATAAAACTTTTCATTTTTCCTCACTAAAAAGATCCTATTTTGCGTGCTTTTTATATTTTAGTGAAAACTCTATATCTATATCAGTGGCGGCTTTAGATTTATATTTTAATGGGGGTATTAGGCTAGAAATTACAATTTTTGGGATTTAATTTGAAATATATTAAAATATTTAATATAGAAAATCAAAATTTGAGTGGTGGCAGCTGCTCCTATGTTGGCTCACCTAGATTTTTCCCCTAATTTATATTAATAAAAACGGCTGAGAATGAAAGTTCAAATCTAAATTACGCTAATTACTTTAATGAATAATACATAGACGAAGATGATTAATTTGGTAATTTTGTTAATCATCGTTTTTATTAATCATTAAAAGTCTGTTAATGTATTTTAGTTGATAATTATGAATGTATCAGTCTGTTATATACAATAAAATAGAATAAAAAGGTAATTTTATATAATTAGATTTTGATTTATACGATATATCTTTATAGAAAAATAATATTTACAAATTTATAATATATTATGTGAGATTAAGAAAGCTATAAATACTATTGCATATCATTATGGTTATATTTTATTATATATACATGACATTATAGATTTCACTTGATTTTACGAAAAAATACTCTTGCCTATTTCTAATATAGTTAGCATTAAAATTTAAACATCACAAATATCTCTTCTTTTTTTTTTACGCTCGAAGCAGCTTTATTCTATTATTTGTTTAATGTTTAATGTTAATTCGACCAAATATATTAAAATATTTAACATAAAAAACAAAATTTGAGTGGTGGCAGTTGCTCCCATGTTGGCTCACCTAGATTTGCCCCTGATTAATACTATTAAAAGCGGCTGAGAACAAAAGTTAAAATATGAATTACGCTAATTACTTTAATGAATAATACAGAGATGAAGATGATTAATTTGGTAATTTCGCTAATCATCGTTTTTATTAATTTTTATAAAGTTTGTTAATGTATTTTAGTTGGTAATTATGAATGTATCAATCTCTTATATACAATAAAATGGAATAAAAAGGTAATTTCATATAATTAGATTTTGATTTACATGATATATATTTTTAGAAAAATAATATTTACGAATTTATAATATATTATGCAATATTAAGAAAGCAATAAGTACTATTGCATATCATTATGGTTATATTTTTTTATATATACATGACATTAGAGTATTTACTTGATTTTACGAAAAAACACTCTTGCATATTTCTAATATTGTTAGCATTAAAATTTAAAGTCACAAATCTCTCTTCTTTTTTTTTACGCTCGAAGCAGTTTTATCCAATTATTTATTTAATGTTTAATGTTAATTCAACCAAATAATATTAAAATATTTAACATAAAAAATCAAAATTTGAGTGGTGGCAGCTGCCCCCATGCTGGCTCACCTAGATCTACCCCTGATTTATACTATTAAAAGCGACTGAGAATGAAAGTTAAAATCTGAATTACGCTAATTACATTAATGAATAATACAGAGACGAAGATGATTAATTTGGTAATTTTGCTAATCATCATTTTTATTAATTTTTAAAAAGTTTGTTAATGTATTTTAGTTGGTAATTATGAATGTACCAGTCTGTTATATACAATAAAATAAAATAGAAATGCAATTTTATATAATTAGATTTTGATTTACACAATATATATATATTTATAGAAAAATAATATTTACAAATTTATAATATATTATGCGATATTAAGATAGCAATAAGTACTATTGCATATCATTATGGTTATATTTTTTTATATATACATGACATTAGTGTATTTACTTGATTTTACGAAAAAACACTCTTGCCTATTTCTAATATAGTTAGCATTAAAATTTAAAGTCACAAATCTCTCTTCTTCTTTTTTACGCTCGAAGCAGTTTTATCCAATTATTTATTTAATGTTTAATGTTAATTCGACCAAATAATATTAAAATATTTAACATAAAAAATCAAAATTTGAGTGGTGGCAGCTGCCCCCATGCTGGCTCACCTAGATCCACCCCTGATTTATACTATTAAAAGCGACTGAGAATGAAAGTTAAAATCTGAATTACGCTAATTACTTTAATGAATAATACAGAGACGAAGATGATTAATTTGGTAATTTTGCTAATCATCATTTTTATTAATTTTTAAAAAGTTTGTTAATGTATTTTAGTTGGTAATTATGAATGTATCAGTCTGTTATATACAATAAAATGGAATAGAAAGACAATTTTATATAATTAGATTTTGATTTACACAATATATATATATATATATATATTTATAGAAAAATAATATTTACAAATTTATAATATATTATGCGATATTAAGAAAGCAATAAGTACTATTGCATATCATTATGGTTATATCTTTTTATATATACATGACATTAGAGTATTTACTTGATTTTACGAAAAAACACTCTTGCCTATTTCTAATATAGTTAGCATTAAAATTTAAACGTCACAAATCTCTCTTCTTCTTTTTTACGCTCGAAGCAGTTTTATCCAATTATTTATTTAATGTTTAATGTTAATTCGACCAAATAATATTAAAATATTTAACATAAAAAATCAAAATTTGAGTGGTGGCAGCTGCCCCCATGCTGGCTCACCTAGATCCACCCCTGATTTATACTATTAAAAGCGACTGAGAATGAAAGTTAAAATCTGAATTACGCTAATTACTTTAATGAATAATACAGAGACGAAGATGATTAATTTGGTAATTTTGCTAATCATCGTTTTTATTAATTTTTAAAAAGTTTGTTAATGTATTTTAGTTGGTAATTATGAATGTATCAGTCTGTTATATACAATAAAATGGAATAGAAAGGCAATTTTATATAATTAGATTTTGATTTACACAATATATATATTTATAGAAAAATAATATTTACAAATTTATAATATATTATGCGATATTAAGAAAGCGATAAGTACTATTGCATATGATTATGGTTATATTTTTTTATATATACATAACATTCGAGAATTCACTTGATTTTACGAAAAAACACTCTTACCTATTTCTAATATTTACCCAACATTTACTTATAGTTAGCATTAAAATTTAAACGTCACAAATCTCTCTTCTTCATTTTTACGCTCCAAGCAGCTTTATCCAATTATTGTTTAATGTTAATTCGATCAAATCCACAAAAACATAAGAGGGTATTGGAAAACATTGTATAAAAAAAATGTTGTGATGGATTCACATGCTGAATCTTCCCAACGAATTCGAAATTACTTTAAATCAATAAAAATAAAAAAAAACAAACACAACCACAAACAACCAAACATTTCACTCAAAACCGAACCTCGTTGGCCAAACATTGTTGTTGATGTTAACAGCAGAAGCATCAGCGGTATCGTCGGTGGTAGGGGTGGTGGCGCTGGCAGCAGTGATGTCGGTGGTGGAGGTGGGGGTGGAGATGGAAGGCATGTGACCGGTGGCAACGGTGGTGATGGAAGGCATGTAACCGGTGGCGGTGGTGATGGAAGGCATGTGACCGGTGGTTGGTGGTTGTTGGTAGCGGTAGTAGTTCCCGTCCATGTAAGTTCCGCTTGCACGCTCTTCAACAGACTCCATCAGCCCATGATGTGCCATCATCAGCTGATCCATGAACGATTGTTGTTGATTCGGATACTGATTCACAAGCTGGTTCGGATCCATGCCAAAGAACCTGTATTGATTCTCACCATAAAAACTAACCGGAGCCTGGTAGTCATGAACCGGCTCTTGCTGAATCATATTCTGATGAATATGATCATAAGAGTTGGCATGAGACTGGTACGTAACCTGTCCTCGCAGATTTTGGATCTGCTGCATCTCCATGTTATGATATTGACGAATACGATCATAAAGACGAGTACGGGCAGTTTCCGCAGCCGCAGCCGCATGCGCATCCGCATCCGCATCCGCAACAAGAGGAGGAGCCGCATCCGCAACGGGAACAAGAGAAGAAGACTCACCGTTCCTCTTCAGGACCTCGATCCTGCGATCTACCGCCTTGTCATAGTTTTCAATGCAAGAAGTCAGATCTCGCAAATCACGTGGATCGTAATTCTGATTCTCCACCGTCTTCCTCCCTGCGAGACACTCGAACATAAATTCTCTAACCTCAGCCTCTCGGTTATCAGAGTAGATCTTCTTCGTTTGCTCTTGCGCTTTCTTGATCCTCTCCCATAGAAAGCTCTTGTGATCAAGCATCTTCTTGGTCCGATCCAGCACCGGCATATCCAAGAACCTCGAATACACCTCTTGAGCGCCAACTGTTGATGGCCATACCTCCGGGTTCGGGTCGAACTGGCTGAACACGACCGCACAGGCTTCGACACCGCAGAGAGTGGTCAGTTCGTTGATCTTCTTCATAATCCCCCTCTTCCTCTTCTTGAACGTTGTTCTCCTTGCTGTTTCATTCGCTATGAGCGATAGCTTCACCTTACTCCTCATCCCCTTTATCTTTTTTTTTTTTTTGTATGTGTGTGTATTTGTGAGTTGTTAGCACCACTTCATCATCGTATATATAGCAGTGAAAGGGCGGTGATACACTCATTACGTGTCTTATCACTTTTGCTGGACTCATTATTTCCGAGGTTTCCATCCAATAAATTTGCTGTAAATTTCTTTTTAATTGACCAAGCGTATCTATGGACTACATCCTCTACATACATTTGTGTAGCTGGTGCATTTACTTATTATGACTTTAAAATGTCTTTCAAGTTTTTCTTTGATTAAGATTAATTTATCATAGTATATTAGACTCATTTTTTGTGCTAAATATTTATACCTTTTTCATACTTTACAAAAAAAATAGTTTTTTGTGCTAAAAATGGATTAAGAACTCATCAACATAAATATAAATTAAAAACCTTTAAATATTGTTACAAAAGAAAATGTAACTTGAATCTCACAAAATCTTTCAACATGGAAAAATAATTTGAACTAGGAATGTTTCCGCGCTACGCGCGGATTATTTTTATTAAAATTTGATTAATATTTAAAGTAAATTATTTTAACATTAAATTAATATTTTAAATATAATATTTGATTTGCAATATTTTTTGACGTGGTTATACCTCGAAATATCTTAACCTATTTGAGAAATGTATTATAATTTAATTTAAAAATTTACTAACATAATATATGTGAAAATTAATTGTTAATCTAAAACTTAATATTTCTATATAACTTCGTACAACAACTTTCAAAATATTATTAAAATTAATCTTGTTTTAACTAAATTTGATATATAATTGAATTTAATAACTATAAGTTTTCTTTATTTAATTTAAAACACTGATTTCATCTTTTCATTTTAAAAAAAAAAAACATAACTTAGCAAACATATGGCTACAACTGAAGCACGTGATTATTGTTCCAATTAATTTGGATTTCTTTTCATTTCAATTACGTATTTATAAAAAAAAAATTCATTAATAGTCGCAAATGCAAAACAACTGTCAATATTTAAAACTCTTACAAATTCTTAAAAGAGCTATTGTTCATATAAATAAAAAAGAATATTTATATAGTATACAAAATCATAATCATATTGATAAACTGCAATTTTGATTTGATCTCTGAAGCATCTGCAAACGATAGAATTTGTAGATGAATAAAGCAAAACATATACAAATAAAACTTTATACTAACTCATTCTATTAAACAAAGTATGTCGAGTTTTTCAAAACTCAAAACGTGTAAAAGATTCATTAGCATTTTTGGCTTGTAATTTAACTTATATATTTTTCTTACACCACACATTTACTTTGACGAGTCTTTATAATTAAATTAATAATATATATTACATTATTTTTAAATGAGTTTCTAAACCCAAAAAAATATCATATTAGTTTTCTTCAGTTTGTAAATAATTTTTATTTGTTGATGTAGATGGTTAATGATGTTTTATGATATTATTTTTTTACATAAAAATATATATACTATTTTCAAATATAAGAATGTGATATATTAATGTTTAAAATAGAATGATACTAGTATATTTTTCTGTAAATGTATTGCGTATATTTTTTTGTAATAAGTAATATATTAATAAAATCTTCTAAGTTTATCGTTGTAGAGACAATAGACAATTTTGTGTCCACATATGTAAAATACAGCTGTGTTAATTTAAAAAAAAACTATTTATTTGTTATGTATATACTATGTATGTTTGTAAAATACGAATAATTTAGATTTTTCTAAATTGTGAATGAATTTAATTTTGTTTTAGAAATTAGTATTTTGTAACTTTGTTTTTATTAACTATTATTCAAAATTTTGGAGCAATTTGGTTTCTAAAATATGTTATGTATATTTCAAAAAAACTAAAATTAGAGCATTTTTATTGTGTGGACGAACTTCATATCTCATAATATTATATTTTATTGATTTTTAGTTTAAACTTGTGATTATTATTAATTTAGGTTATAAAAATTTAAAATATTAAACATATAACTAATTTTTCTTTTTGTTAAAATCAGGTTATATATCATTTTTTTATTACAGTATATACAATTTAATCAACATTCAAGTATTACTATTATTATTGAGTGAATACTATTTAATTTTAAATATGTTATAAATATATCAAAGAATTATTTTTATTAGAAGTATGCTGATGTAGCATCATTATAGAGAGTTTTTTTTTATACTGGTGTGGATGACTTGAGGAGCCCCAAACTATTGATTTCATTTAGTATAGATTTATCTACCAAAAGAATCTTTATTACGCAAGCAATTGTTAGACTGTTACTCACAAGAATGTAATATGTATCCCAGGAAATACTTCTAACACGGAAAAATAATTTGAAGTTATCAACTTTTTTATTATTATTATTCAAGCAATTGTTACACAGAAAAATATAATGTACTCATGAAATAACTTCCAACGCGAGCAATAATTTAAACATATCTACTAAAAAAGTGTAATTATGTTTACTCATAAGTTGGTCTCACTAAGAAGAAATACATGGTGTTGGTAAAATTAACCATTTAGTACAGTAGTATTATTTTTCGCTCCAATTGTCTTACACATAATGCATGTTACATGTATGTACACATGTATGCAAATGATAATCATTAAATTTTGGTGAAATTGTAAATTCATGCTAACCTTTTGGAGAATGAGACCACATAGATTTTTATTTTATTCTTTTACAGCCTGAGACCAGATAGATTATTGAGGAAAAAAAGGTATTTTCATTTTACTTTAAATAAAACTTACCAGCTAATAATGAGTAATTTAGGTAGAGTTACAATTATTTTTGCTAGGCATTACAGCTTATCAAAAAAAAAAGTAAGAAATTTCACATTTTGATTTTATCAAAAAAAAGAAACCATGTTTCGTTTGACCGGTGCTCCTATATTATCAACAACTTCTGAATGTAAAAGAAGAAAATGAAACCAAAAGTAAAATTTGAAACTCATTTACAGTATCCGTTATTTAATCCAAGAAAAATTGGTTCTCCATTTAGTTAAGATAGGACAAACAATTTGAAGGTCTATTGATTCTAATACATGTTATAGAGTTTATACTTAACGATACATATTCAATTTTTTTTTTGAATTATAATATATATTCATGTGTAGATAGATATTAAAATATTTAACCCGCTAAATAACTAAAACAGTCAATTAAAAACAGTAATATAGTCAAGATTATTTCATTTTCCTCTGCCTTCAGAAACATCAACGATCTTCAAATCTTCCTTCTCTGCAGTTTCAACAGATTTCTCCACCTTGAATTCCTCAACAACATCCTCCACTGTCTCCTTTATCCTCATCAAAAGCTTCAAGAATAACCTCTTCATCGCACTCTTTCAAACCCTTCTCTCTAGGTTTCACAGCTTCTTTCTTCTCTGCAGATTCTTCACAGTTTTCAACCCTTGCAGCTTCCTCCACCCCTACTACATGTGATTCCTTCCTTGATTCATCTGTTAGTTTGTTGCCATCGATAGAAGTTTGATCAACCTTCCCCTCCTTCACAACTATCTGGATTATATAAGATGTTGGCTTATCTTTTCACCACATCAACATTTTCTGTTTCTTTCTTCAATATCTCATCATTCGCTTTCTTCTCCATTGGCTGCATCAAATAAACAGCTACTTAGAACCCCTTTTTTAGCTCTTTATGTACAAACTCGACAACAAATTCTTTAACTTACTACATAAAAAAAAAAGGGTCACAGTTTTAGTACGCAACACGCTTGGAATCATACTTTAAAACGTAAGCATACCTACGTAAAAAGAAGGCAAAGACAGTGGGTTTTAAATGTCATGTGCTGATTTGTATAACTTTGTGTAGTTTCTTACACATAGGTCCAGAAGTAGATGATCAAACATATCCAAAAAACAAGTGCAAGATAACAAACCATAAATCATTCTTGCCTAGTTGACGAGAAAAAAAAAAAAATCATCCTTGACTCAAGTGCCAAAACCTCTCTGCGGACCATATGCTGTGACAGCGACTATTCGCTGGGCTCTCGAGACTACGTGACTCCATTGGATCGTTTGTAAAGCCCATTGGGTCACAAGTGCTTGAGCTATTTACTGGGCTCTGTTTACCTATTAGAGTATATATAAGCTGGGGTTTATATCAGCTGATGATCCGATCGGTAATTTACGATACCTTCTTCAGGACTTCTCTTGTGAATGCAATCTCTAAACCCACAAACTACATTTATTTTTTTTATAAATTAATATTTTGTATTTATTTCAAAATTAATTATTAATCAAATAATACATTTATAAATTAGTAATCTCTATAAATTAATAAAATTTTATTGGTTTTAATATTATTAATTTATAAAAACATTACTGTAATTTTTCTTATATTTTTTTCTTACAAAGAAAAATGACTTGTTAGTTTTTCCTTTCTTTCGTGTCGACCACTAGAAATAATATATGGCTGAAAGAAGAAAAACGCAAGAAGTATATATATACTGTGTGAATTCATTAATAAATTGAAATTAAAGAACATCAAATAAGGAACTGATACGCGTCCCATATGCATGATAATTATAGTATTTTGGAAGATAATTAAAGGAAAGAAAAAGAGAGGTTAGATTGGAAAAAGGGAGAGTGTTGATCCCTATAATTGGGACATAGATTTGCAGAAAAATTAGTGACTGATGGGAAGGTTTAAGAAAGTGAGGATGCAAAAAAGCATTAACTAATGAAGAGTGTTGCTAATCAGAGATTGACTAGTAGTATTATTTCTCCTCTTTCCCTCCCCACTTAATTAATCACCAAACACAACATGTAATTTATTCCTTTGATGGCTCATGTTTTTCAACCAGACAAAATACCTTTTCATTATTGCTATTAATTAATCTTTAACTCCTTTAAAAAAAAATCTTCTTTAAACAACAGTAAATTTTCAGGAATACCGACTCTAACAATAAGTCAATGAAATTGAATACCTAGATAGAATGAAAAAAATAGATACC